AATTTGAAAATTTTTAGGCCCAAATGGGTGCATTTGAGGCTACTTTTGCACACTTTCTGTTCTTATATTGGCTGATATAATATGGCATTTGTTACCATGAAACATGCAACTTGTAGTACGGATTACATACCAAAATGCTTAAGAAATAAATGACAACTTTGGCTTTTTCACAATTTTAATATTTATTTTCAAAGTTGTAAAGTTCACATGGTATAAATCTATAATACTCCTATATAAAACACATACCTTTCAGCTTCAATAATCCACAATGTATCTTTCTGCAGTCAGGATGCTCTTCATATGTCAAGAACTGGTGTTTTCTTGTTTTAAATTCACAAGTAAAAAAATTTTCCTTGATAATTTATTTCTTCTTTAAAAATAATCATTTTTTGGCTCAGAAATGCATTCATTTATGGTGTGATTAACCTAAGACAACTCAGAGCAATGAATTATCTATACTTGATACTTTATAGCTAATCAGAGAAATAGTCTGATTCACAGTCAGAATCTTCCATGTTGTGGCTTTTCTCATCGCATTCAAGCTGGAGAGCAGCAACATACGCGTCGACATTTGGCTCACTCTTGATGCTTTGTGAATCATCAACTTCCATGGAGGATGGTACATCTAGATCATGTGGAGTGGCTTCATTGAGTGTTGGTGGATGGTCTGGGACTGCTTCTGCATTTGCCAAGGAAGATGAGGCCACAGTAGCTGAGATGGGAGGAAGCTTTTTAAGCTTTCTTCTATCCTTTTCTTTCAGCCAATGTGCAACCACATCACGGATTAAGGATGGCAACTCCTTTGACTGTTGTTTGGGCCCATTGATAGAAATGTGCAACAAGGGGTTTAGCAAATCATTTTTGATTCTTGACCGCAACCTGTTCTTCTGCCATTTCAGGACACTGGCTCCCCTCTCAGGCCAAGCATTACTGACTGGGCAACTTAGACAAACTTCAGCCATGAATGACAGCATGGGATAGTGAGATCTATAGGGTGGCTGCATCAGCTTGGATAGGCACCAATCAGTAGCTGTAATTGAACCTTCCCCCTGACGAATAGCTTGTGGCAGATCATTTTCCTTCCACTGCAGTAGGTCATATTTTGCCTTTTGCCATTCCACAATAAGCTGTTGGTGGTCTTCTGCATGCTGAGGCCCTGGGAAGTAATGGTCGGCCAACTTCTTAATCATGCTGGAGCCATATTCACTTTAAGAAAAAGAAATTGTAAAACAGTAAATGAAAAAGCATAAACCAGACAGTGGTCTAATTTGTTTAATGTTAAAACCATGATATCAAAGTACCCAAAGTAGACAATACCTGAAGCCATCGTCGGTTTTTGCAGGAACAGAAAGTAAATCAAATATCTTGAAGGAATCAAGTACGGGAGAGGACTCCTGGAACCGTGCATCAATGTTTTCAGTCAGGGCACCAACATACTTCTTCAAAAAGCTTTTGAGTTGAGTTTCTTGGTGGGATGTTTGCAGTGACTGGTCTGGCTGGTCTCTTGCTCTTAAGTCCTACAAAACAAGTTGGAGTCGTCCTTCAGGTCGCAAGTCCTGCATGAAGAATGACAGAAAATCTGATAATGTAGTTGTTTTTTTTTATTCTCATAGCATAATTGATATTTAAATATATATGTCGCTAACTGTTATGATAACTAAGAAATATACAGGTTTTCACCCTGATTTTCACTAGAACAACTTGACAACTTATAAAACTACATTGATAATACATACATTACAGTTACAATAAAACATGTTGATAAAGTGTACCTGTTTTAGCACTGCGATAGGTGTCTCGTTGGTAGCAATTTGCTTGAGCTGTTCCTTGGCATACTGAAGTGTAGGAACAATCTTGGCAAATGAAACTACACCAGCTTGGAAACATTTGCTGATTGTTGTGAGGATAGGAAGAATCATCTTCAGGATATAAATACTTCCTACAGAAAAAAGAAACATAATGCCGTTGAATCATTTGTTCACTAGACTTGTCAATAAAAACATCAGACTTTAACAAAGTCTTCTAAGTACATACACAGGCCTTTCTTAACCCAGAATAAAAATCTCATTTTTTACCTATGAATTTCACGGTCTTCATCTGGGATAGTAGACCAATGGCAGTTGCATCATTTCGGAACTCGTCAGCACTGAGCGTTAACAGAATTGCAGTGTAGTCCTGCCAAACCCCCAGCACCGCTTTGTCTGTGGACAGCCACCGTGTTCTGCAAGCCCGTTGAAGTTTGTGACCAATTTTGTGTCGTTTAGACTCGTCAGCGGGAAGCTGCATGTCTCGAAGTCTTAATTGCATCTTAAGATACGCTGCCGTCTTCACACAGGAGTTTTCGAGCCACTTGTACAGCTGAACCAGTAGGCGTTCTATGGTTAGCATGTACTCCACCTCGTTGTTGGAGTCCCCACAAGCTAATGCCAGTCTGTGGCAGATACAGTGAACGTTGACCAGTCTTGGGTTCTCCCTTTTGAGCAGTGCTGCTACGTCATTATTCTTGCCAACCATTACTGAAGCTCCATCAGACGCCAAACACAGGAATTTTTGAACGTCAAGGTCATCCTTAGCCAGTTCTTCTTTAATGTTTTCAGTGATGGTTTTGGCGTTCGGTGACGCAGCATCCTCCATAAGATCTTTGACAGCTAAAAAGCGGATTTGCACATTTGCATTTTCCACATACTGGATGAAAATGATGTTTTGTTCTTTCACTTGAATGTCAGTAACATCGTCCACCATGAGGCCATAACACTTCGCTTCGTTAGCAGCTTTTGTGATCTTTTCCTTTATTACCCTGCCCATCGTCGTGAGGATTCCTCTTACTGACCACAATGATTCATGTTGGAAATGCTCCAGCTTTTCCAGTCCTATCGTCCGCATCATCTTCAACATGGAGGGGAAGTTTCGGTAGGAAATGCCATGCTGAACCTGCCAGTACAATGACATGAAAGCGCTATACAGAATTTCATGCCTGTGGAGGTTACGCTCGTCAAGTTTTTCTTGAAAAATCGAGGTCCTCTTTAACATTTCTGCTGCAATGGAATCTTGATGTTTCTGTCCACTGCAGTGCTCCACAAGTGCTGAGGTCTGGAAACGTACAGCGGGTTCCATTCCATATGATGCACTCTTATTGTGCTTGCCCTTTGCCTGGTGAAGTCTGCAGAGTAGACAGTACATACCCTTCTCTTTAATGAAAAGTAACCACCACAGCCCTGTTGTTGCATCGTAAGTTAAATCGCGTCGAAAGATCCATGTATGGTCAAATTTTTTCTTTCCTTTCTCCTTCTGGTAGTTGCACGTAGTTTCAGTGCAGTGGTAAAAACTGTGCACAACTTCGTCCGCTGAGAATAGATCATTGATCATATCGCGCGTAGCATTGATATCGGGCACACTAGGCTTCGTTGAAGTTGACCTGCTCGGAGGTGCGGTTGATGTGCTGGCCGCTGAATCTTCCGTAAGCATTTGTTGAGGAGAAACACTTTGACTAGGCTTAGGATTGGATGATTGACTGGTAGGTTCTTCAATAGCTGTAGCCGAGGGTACATTAATCACAGGTGTTTCGCCGTGTGTTTCGCCTCCCGGAACAGACGTTTTTTTTGGCGTCGGCCTGCAATTTAATTTATATTTAAAGAGGTAAGGATATGTTCCATTTTGTGGAATAAGAAAGGAAAGACAGAAAATACATTTACAGTTTCTACACCCGTTAAAAAAAACAAAAACAAAAACAAAGAGAAACAAGCGGGTTTCGGCTTTGCAGCACGGCGGCACGAAGTCTCGCTTGTCTCACGTGCCTAATTTTGTTGTTTCCGCATTCTTGCCATAAATAATCGAATACCAATTTTTTTCCGGGAAAAAGTTGCAACCCTTCCTTATCATATAACGTACAGCAACATTTACAGTTTTTTTTTTTTTCGTTCAACATTCAAACTTTTCATCGCTACGTTCTGGTTTATAATTCTCTGATGCAATGAGTTGATTCACGCTTTGTTTCAATTTAATTGAATTAGTGCGGGTGGGTTTTAAAACTTAAAACTTTTGTCTCCACGTATTTCCACTAAACGTGTATGAATTATTTACTATCATGTTATATCATAATATAAGCTCTTATTTTATGCCGCAGATTTCGTATGAAATGAATATTTTTTGCCGACCTCTTGCTAGCTTGTGAAAGTAGAAACTAACGTAAACAAGTTGGATTCGCTTCACCGCACACGTGTTCTAAATTTTACACACGTGAATATATTAAAATGGTGTTGAATGAAAAACAACTGGAGAACAACAGAACATGCCATGCCCATCTTAACTTGTTAGACCAAGAAAGGTAAAAGCTTAAAGGCAAATTAAAAAACCTTGCGGGTAATTTAAAGCAACGTCAGACTAAATATAGCAACGCAATGTCATCGATATTATGATCTCGCCGAAGCGGCGCGACAGGTACTGTACATACAAACTAATTACATTTTAACTACAAAGAAAAAAGCTTACCTCTGAGTGAAGTACTGATTAATTTTCCGCTTCATTTGGTACTGTGCAAGGCCGCCAAAGTAGATATGTCACGTAACGTTGTCACAAAGATGAGAATTGCTGTTTGACTGTTTTCTCTCGAGAGCAAATGCTAGACTGAACTGTAGCGATGGAACAAGCTGAATTTATTGCCGTTGTCTGTCGCAACACCACGAGAAACCACGACGGAAATACCTTTTTTTTTTTCTCGCGAGGCTTCCAGGTTTTGTAACACTATTTATTTTTGATACATTTACTCACGAATGGAGGTTATTCGATACCCCGATGACGAACTTTATTTAAATTTATTTTATTTATTTTACCGTAATTTACGTTCAAATTTAAAATTGTCGGCTGACCATAGTCTCCACAGGAGTTTTAGTACAAACTGAGCGTGAAAATAGCCGGGACAAAAATTAAAATAGCCGAGTAAAGGTCCCGGTGTCCCGGCCCTAACAAAAACCCTGCATAAAAGTAAACACCAGTCCCAAACTGTAAGAATTAGTACATTTTGAATCTTATTTACTGGCAAGAATGTGTGCTTGCAATGAAGGGATTTTATTTCATTGAAACTCACTGAACTCATCCCCCAAACATGAAGATTCCATTCCAGTGGAGTCATCAATAACATCATCACATGTTTCGTTATCTTTGGGAGCCTCAACTTCACTGATACTTTCCCTTTCTCTAACCTTTGTTGAGCTCAAGTTGCTGGTTCACGCAGGCAGACCAGCCCTTGGAGTTGAGCATAACAGAGGGCTACAGCTCTCAAGGCTTGTCTGAGATAGACTTGGTGAGGAAGGTCTTTCAGTGCTATCACCAGATCATAGTTAGTAGAGGAGGTCTCCTCTACTAACTATGACGAGATTTACTGACAAACACTTGTACAGGAAGTGAATGATCCTTCTGTTAAGAAGAGGAGTCTAAGAGTTACATTGTAGCAATTGTATAGCACTCAGTATTATGCAGAATACAACTGTATGTTAATATGTGTCTACTTGACCGAGGAGAAACTACATACACCAAAGAAAAAAGCTTAAGTGACAAATGTTTGGTGTATCCTTGCCCTGTATATTATTGTTGGAAAAATTTTGTACCAGGTTTGGTAGGTTCTAAACAGATCATGTATATGTATATATCATAGTATTGGAAGGAATTTTTAAGCTTTCAACTTAATTGTATTATTGCACTATTTTTTCTTTATTTACTTACTGATTGATGCTTTAAGCTATAATTATTACAGTTATCATAGAAAAACGTTTCAGTTTACAATGAGAAGTTATTCTGCACTTGCCTTTCTCTTTTCAATCTTTTTCAAAATTTGTTCAAAATATTCTTGATTTCTATCAATCATCCTTTCAAGGCGGTCCAAGCGAGACACGAATTGCTGCATAAAGTCAAAGACCATATCCTGCAGATGTAGAAGGAATTAGTCCAAACTGATCAAGTAATAATAATAATAATAATAATAACGAACTTTTATAAGCTGTTGTAAGATCTTACAATGTATTCATTATGCTAAGAAATTTCCATACCATGTTTTCATCTGAGATTTCCAGCAACTCTTTGGTCTGTTGCTCATTATCTTCCTTTCTGGCTTTTTCTTCTTCTGCCTTTTCCTTATTAGCTTGTCGTTAGCAGCTCTTGCCTGAGAAAAAACAGAGAATATACATATACGAAGATTCAGATTCTTCCCCAGTAAAACCATGGTTTGCTTAATTTCCTTATCCTCTCTTTTGAAGTTCTACTGTTTAAGCACTGAAAGGTCGTACACGGCAGAAAAATCGGGTACTGACCGCACAATTGTTCCCACTTTTTGAACGGGGCTGAGCACGTATTTCAGACTTAAATTTCGTAAGTAAGTTTACTACGGTACGTTTTTGAGCGCCGAACTAACCCATAGGAAGTGCGAAATTTCTCCCTCACCTTCAATGTCGTTATTCTCGACGAATTCGTCTGAACTTATTTCGTCCACCTCGGTCGATGATATCTCTGACACTTCTGCAGTGTTGTCCCACACCTCAGTAACGTGGGCTTCAAAATAAGCCTTTTCCTTTTCATTCGCGGTTTTCCAGTAGCACCAGACAGCTTGGCCAACACGAAACGGGAAATTTGCCAGAGAACCACTTAACTCCTGACTATATTGTCTGAGTTTGATCCTCCACGACTCCGTGACTTTCGTGGTCCCACCGTCTTGCGTAAACCTTATTTTAAGATAAGGCTTCTGTTTGAGCCAGGAAGGAGCACATCTCTTTTTCTGAGATCGTTGCATATTGCTGTACATTTCTAGGGGCGTTGTGTCGATCACTGTGAAAGCATGTGTAATGTGAGAAATTTTCGGGCGGTGAGTAAAACCCTTCACGTGGGAATGAGCGATTTTGTCCAATCAGCAACCTCGACCCAGGACTATCGCTTAAAAATCAGATTTTTTTTTCGCACTTCCATTAATGTTTGGTCCTCATGGCAGACGACAGAAGCAAGCGCAAAGCATGGTTGCATTGCAAAAACGCAAAGATTCCCAGAACTAAAGCTTGGAGAAGCAAAACAGTTGAAAAAGGGAATCTTGGTGAACGTTCCACGTTTGATTCATCGACCAGAATGTCGATCGATCCCAAAGAAAGTGCCCAATCTTCGTACTTATTTGAGAACGATTCGATGTTAACGTTTTTGATTGAGACTGATTTACAAAGCGATCAGTCTTCTACTCAGCCTCCCACTTCCACGACAGAGAGTGGTGATTCCGATCCAGCTTACCTCGAAGTTGAAGTTGATGAATTTTCTTCATTTTTCGTTGATCCAGAGAGTAATTCTGTTGCTTGCAGTAGCGAGGAATCATCGGAAAGTGACACTGAAAGTTCTGATTGCAGCTCAGACAGCGAGTTTGACGGCGAGCAAGATGAAACAAGGGACACTATTGAGGAGCCCGCAAAAAGCAATGAAGATTTGGGAGGTGATGATATACCACTTTACAACGGTGCTAGCGTATCAAGGCTCGGAGCTCTCGTGCTAGTGATGCTTTTTAGTTTAAGACACCAGCTCTCGGGACAAGCTTTGATTGATTTGGTGAAAGTATTGCATGCTTTACTGCCTGATGGCCATAGATTTGTGGCTTCCGCTTTCTTACTGAAAAAGTACTTCGCTGATTTATTTTGCGAACCTCCACCGAAGAAGCACTCTTATTGTGGCAACTGCCTTGGTAGAATACAGAACGGTCAAATAGAATGCCTTAAAGAAAAATTTCAGAAATCGAAAAAGAAGATAAAACACTTCTTGGAGCTGGATTTACACATGCGTCTTTGTCAGCTGTATCGAGGTAAATAAACAAAATTAAGCTAAGGGTAAAGTTCAAGCGTATAGTAGGTTGGATATGCATTACATGGAAACTATTTCCATTCACTTTTCTTGCTGTCATTATGAGTATAAAACAAGCTGGTCTTCTCCATTTGGTACTGTTAATTAAAATATAACTTGCTATCCATTGAAAGTGTACTCATGGTGATACTTAGTATGCGCATTAACTAATTAATATTTGTTAAAAGGAAACCTGCTTTTCTTATTAAATAGATGCAGAGTTTGTCAGATTGTTGGGATATCGATTTGAGAATGGTTTCCTTGATGATGATGACATATGTGACATATTCAGTGGACAAGAGTACCGCAAACTCATGCAGCCTGGTGGCATTCTCAGCCAAGACAACCCTCTGAACATCTCATTCTCGTTCAATACAGATGGTGTTGCACCCTACAAGTCATCCAACAAACAAAATTTCTGGCCTATTTTCCTAGTTATCAATGAACTTCCTCCTAGACTGAGGTAACAATTCTTGAAAATCATTATGCTGCGATTAGTAAACTTCAGTTTGAATAAACTTTCAGTTGAATAACCTTACAGTTTGAATCCTTATTGTACACATTGACATTCCCTCATAAGTTATAAGTTGAGACTTTCCTGTTAATTAGTTTACCATGTAGAGGAAGTTATTTAAACCATGTGCATGTAAAACTGAAAACAGCTTTAATATGCATGCCTGTGTGCAATCTGTCTGATTTTAATTTTTTCAATGTAGGTGTTCGAGAAGGTATATGTTCCTTGCTGGTCTCTGGTGTTCCATGAAAAAGCCAAACATGCAAACATTCTGTCGGCCAATAATTGAAAGCATCAGTGCCCTTTACCGCAGTGGTATTATACAGTTAGATTCTAATAATAAATGCACATACCATAGATTCAATTCACCATTATACAGAATTTTTTGGTGTTAGTACTGAGTCCAAAATTGCCCTAAATAACCACTGTTCTTAGAAATACCGTGGTCTGTGATACACTATTTCCAAACAAACTCCATAACCCCCCAGTTTTTTTTTACCTTTTTGACTTAAACTGATCATTGTCTAACTGCAGCCAAAGTTTAAAAGAAATTTGTAGATGTGAACATTATGGGTGCAAACATCCTTAAGATGCTTTGTTGCTCTTACCAAAAAATGCAAAGCACCCTACATTAGATGCCACACCTTTCAACCCCACTGATACAAACTTTTAGGGTTCTTTCAAGAAAGGCTTTACACTATAACTGGACAATATACAACTTAATAGTACACCAGCATTCAAAAAGCAGGGCTGAAGCAGCTGATTTTAGGAAGTAACATGTTAAAAAATTTAGATCAATAAACCTCCAGTTTTCCAAATTTGCATGTAATTAGAGAAAGAAACTTTAATGAAGTGAATTATTTCGATAATTTCACTGGTTACTATGGTCTAAATAAGTTAACCAATTTGCTTGTTAGGCCTTACAGTTGTGACACCTACTGGGCAACAAAAGGTTATAAAGGCCACCCTTCTGCTGTCATCTGCTGATCTTCCAGCAAAGTCTCTTATGGCCAATATGAAACAGTTCAATGGGGAGAAGGGCTGCTCAGTGTGTGAAGATAAAGGGGAGACAGTAGGAGTTGGTGGATTGCACAGAATTTGGCCCTATACCTCTGATATGGTACTAAGGACACACAAGTCTGTGGTTGCATCCATCTGCAAAGTTGTCAAGACTGGAAAACCGGTATGTCCATAGTGGATGTTAAATGATATTGTGTAAAGATTTTAACCCTTTCGCCCATAAGAGTTCCAATTGGCACATAATGCCATAACTTGCTAAATATTTGGAAGATTAATAATCTTTGAATTTTTGACAGAAAATGTTTTCCACAAAAATCTGCTCACTTAAGGTATAACATTATGGCCCCTTCCCACATGTGTCTATGGTCTAGATGATTTATGCACAGAGACCTGCAAAACAAGACAAAGATAGCTAAGGGCAAGTGATTAAATATTATTTTAGCACTGACTTGACTTTTCTAACTTTGGCAGGTCAATGGAATAAAGGGTGCTTCTGTGTTTTTACTTTTTAAACCATTTGACCTTGTGAAGGGTTTTGTTATTGACTGGATGCACTCTGTATGCCTTGGAGTTACAAAATCTATGATACATCTGTGGCTAAATGCAGAGAACCGTGGAAAAGAATTCTTCCTAGGATCAAGAGTAACATTAAATAAACTTTTAACATTATATCTTTAATTTCTGAGAAAAATCATCATCTCAATTGATATCTCTTCTGATTTTCCAATAAAAGTCATTATTTTTGTAAATATAATCACTGCAGTGTTCAAGAAATTGACATAAGTAGTCAACCTGGATTAATTTGCAGTCACACTCTTTTGGCATTCTTACTGTTATAGATTGCGCTGTTGAATAAAAGATTGTTGTCTATAAAAGTTCCTGACATAATCACCCATTGTCCAAGAAGTTTTGCAGATCGTGGAACTTGGAAAGGTTTATATTTTGTTACCATAAGAATATTTCAAATTTCTTAATTCCTTTCTTGTAAACTATTGGTTCAAATTGTGAGGGCCACCTGGCTTTAGATTAATGTGGTAGTGGGACTGCAAAAGGTTAATTTTTAAGATGGGGTGGGTAGTAACTGAAAAATATTAACTGTCTCATTCTAAATAAGGGCCAGTACAATACTAATTATTGGTGTTGACTTATTAAATTTTCATTTTGTCAGCTACAGAGTATAGAAATTGGCTTCTTCACTACTCTGTACCAGTGCTGAAAGGTGTTCTTCCAGATTATTACTTCCTTCACTACACTTTGTTAGTGAAAGCTATAGCCATCCTTGTAAGTGAATGAATAACCCCTGAACAACTCAAGCTGGCTGAGGAGCTTTTGGACAATTATTGTAAATTGTTACCAGAACTCTATGGTAAATAGATTTTTACCTTTTTAAGTAAGTTATTTATATTTGTCTGTTCCTGTGATAGTTTTTGAAAATTTCTTATCATTTCTGTGATTCATGTTAACTGCAAGCCTTTATACACATATAATGTATTTTGCTGTAGTTGTTTAAGGGGCACTATAACCTAACTAACATATTGTTGCTGTGGAAAGTTCACAACCCTCATATCTTGGAAACATTAACTTTTTATATCGTCAAGGTTTTCAGAATTGTCAAGTCACAACCTTATTTGGTAAGTCATGTGACCAAGACAGGGTGAGGCCTAATATAGTGGCACCAAACAACATAAAACAGTGCTTACAAAATGCCTTCCTTGAAGCTTGTTTATGAGAAAGCAGCCAGACTCATAATTTCCATCTTCTCAGACATCTGACATAAACGGTTAAGAATATATGAAAGTCATCTATTTGAACTGCGGATAAAGACGTGAATGAAAGTGATCCTTGCAGTAATGTACACTTCTTAGGCAGTAATGAAAATAAGGCCTGAACATTACTGCGAGGATCACTTTCATTCACATCTGACATACTTTGTTAAGTTGTTTGGTCCACTTTGGGTGTACTCCTGCTTTGGCTTTGAAGCACTCAATGGCTTTCTAACTACCATGATTCATGGAACTTAGCATATTTCTAATCAGGTGACAAAAAATTTAACTGTTGATATATTTTAGTCTAATATGATGTTAAATGAATAATACCACTTAGACTGTGCACACATTACACTTTATTAATTTCAAGATTGCCATGCCCACAACTAGTTGAGGCTTATCAAGTTAGGCCATGTCTCAATAGCAAAATTACAAAATAAACAAATTAACAACAGGAACTAACTATGAGAGGAGAAGGGGAAAAAATAAAGACAAGAAAACCACACATTGACCTAATCAAAAATATTACACACATTAAAAATGGGAGGAAACAGATCAGATTCATATCAGGAACTTTGAATCAAGCTTGATGAAAGGAAGAGCGGTAATTTGAATTTGCACATCTCCAAGTTCCTTAAAAATTATTTTTTTACACTAGGTTATGTAACTAGAATACAGGCTTAATATTGTTTTGTTTTCTACCTGTAGATGCCTCTGCTGTTTCAATTTTTCGCAATTTTCCCACCCTAATCTCCAAGATGACAACAGCAGTTAACTCAGATTTTGTGATATCACTAGCACAGCACCTTGCTGGGGAGAGATCATTGTAAGTATTACACATGCAGGTGAGCCTGCTTCACAGCTGTGAAAATAATAAATTTTGAATTTAATAATTATTAAATTCAAAATTTATCACTATTTTATTTCAAAGGTGCAGTAGTCCTAATTAAGAATTAAGGATAAGCATCTTGTGTCAGAGCTTTGTGACCATATTGGTTGTAGGAATGTGAATGTGAAATGTAGTGACTAGGTATATGTTTCATTAAAGAAATTATTTTTCATTTTGTAGACCTACACCTCCTGGCTGTGATCCCAAAGCATTTGTTCTTGGTGTTTCTAAAAAGGAACAGCTACACAAGCAAGAACTGGCAGTAGTAAACAGGTTTCTTCACTGTAGAGGATTGGCAGTTATTGGTGAAGGTGATGAGGTTGAAACTTATCGCAGAGCAGTTGTAAATGTTGCCATTCTTAGCAGTGCTCGTTCGTCCAAAAGCAAATTGAAGAACTCTTATACTGTTCAGTATGAGGATGCAAGAGGATTAACTCACTTTGGAGAAATTTAGAAATTTTTAGTTTTGAAAGGCCATCATGTTGCAGTTATAACTAAGTTAGTCCCAAATGGGTCTTTGGTGTCAGGGATAACATCATCTTCAGAGTTACTAAATAACTATTCAGATTCAGGTGTTTTAGTTCACCACATGGCAGTGACCAAAAGGTCAAATGCTTCCTTTTGTATACCACTATGTCGTATTAAAAGATTGTACATTGTAGTAAGTTCTTCTTCTCTGCCTGACATTTTACCTGGGTACTGTACTAATGAAAAAGCTAAGCAAACTTTTTTTACAACACCTGCCTGTACCTATATGGCATGTAGTAAAGTCTTTTGAAGTAGTCATAATCCCAGTTTCATATGTTGAAACACATGCACATGCAGATTTCCTGTAAACCTATACCCTTGCGAACTGAATTCTTAGTTTTCTGGGAATTCCTAGGAATTATTTTATTTAAAATTTTATTTTATAAAATTTTTCTATACCTTGTAGGTCTGGTATAAAATTTTACTTGTAGTATAAAATGACAACCTTGTATCTTCGTCCTCTCCACCCCTTTCCAAGCTCGGGAACGCTTCGGACTGTGCAAAACCATTTGCAGACGAGAATTCCAATGCACCTCTGTAATCGCATGTAGTTGCTTCTGTCTCTCGTGCAAATGTTTTCTCCGTTATGAGACGCACTTGACTCTGTTGGCACCACTGCTAGTTCAGTGGAAAGACCGACTGAGGAATCGAGATGGCTAGCTGTGTTGGAACGTGTTGCTGAACGCTTGTTGTGGTCAAGCCTTGTTGATTTGGGTACTGGTACACTGGGATCATCTAGGTATCTCTTATACTTCCTAATGTGATTGGCTTGTGTTGTTTCTCACCTTCGCCGTGAACATAACTCAAGTGGGTTTCGAGTCTTTCTTTCCTCGAAAACTTTCGGCCACAAATCGTGCATTCTTGTTTGATTCTTGTCGATTATTTCTACATAGAGTGAATTCACATCATTATTTATGTCATCATCAAAACATGAGAGGAGAACCGGTCAGAAGAGACAGAATAATGTTGCGCGCTTCTCTTGAGACTGCAATGGGTCAAGCCAGCGGATTCTCTTTGCTAAAAGGTCCACGTGATCATGCCCGTGATCGGAAACAAAGAAAACTCCATTTGGCGCTCATCTTTGAATGTACTTTTCATCGGTTAACCGCTCTTTTTTTACAATACTTTATTCAAGAGAAGGAAAATAAAAAAATAAAATTGTAAAAGTATCTCTCGAAAGGGGATATTCTAGAGGTTAACCCTATACAAAAGATTCCCCGAATAAAAAGATCAAAACATTATATACAGATAATTAAAAACTGTTTACCATCATCTCAATCAATATTCATGTAAATCTTTAGTCTGTTACGAAATAAAGTCAATGATCCTGCGTGTACAACATCTTTAGGCAAATTATTCCACATATTAACGATCCGTACAAAAAAAGAAAATTTGTAGCAATTTACGATAGCTATTTTTACGTAGAGCTTATAATCGTGATTGGCTCTAGTTCGATTATATTTAGTAAGTTCAAAAAAGTCCGAAAAATGAAGACTATCTATTCCCAGAACTATCTTGTAGCACTGGATCAGAGATAAAAACTCTCTTCGTTTCTCCAAAGTTTGCCAGTTCAGTAGGCGGCAGCGGTCTTCATAGCTCATTTCTCCGCGTTTTTGCTTTAATGCCAACCGAGATGCCCTTCTTTGGACTTTTTCCAAGGATTCGATATCCTTTTTTTGGTAGGGGCTCCAGACGGGGACAGCGTATTCGAGTATAGGTCTTACTAACGACTTAAAGAGGCAGGAAAACGCATAGCGATTATCGTTTCCAAGTGATCGCCTAATTATACCCAACACTTTGTTCGCCTTGTTTACTATGTAGGAAACGTGTTTGCTCCAAGATAGATCGTAGTTTATTGTGACCCCTAGGTCCTTGGCACTGTCGACAGATTTTAGTTGCGTACCAAGGGAATAACTAGGCTTGGATCTGTCTCTACTGTGCGTTACACGCATAACTTCACATTTTTCAGGATTAAAGCGCAACTGCCACTTGTTAGCCCAATCGCTAAGTTTGTTCAAGTCCAGCTGTAAGGCTGGTATATCCTTATCAGGCTCCATGATCTTGCGATAGATTTTAGTATCATCAGCGTAGATTTTCACGGTTGATGTAATGTTTGCCGAAATATCATTTATATAAATAATGAATAGGATTGGGCCGAGTACTGTTCCTTGAGGCACACCTGAAATCACGGGTGACCAGTCTGAACAATTGCCCCTTAACACGACACGCTGCCTTCTATTCGTCAAAAAATTTCTAATCCACAGTAGTAGAGAGCCGTCTATCCCATACCGTTGTAGTTTCAGCAGCAAACGCTCGTGTGGCACGCTGTCGAAAGCCTTAGAGAGATCTAAGAAGATGATATCCGTTTGTTGCGAGCAATTCCTAGCCTTTGCCCTGTCATTGTAACATGTAAGTAATTGTGTCAACGTCGATTTACCCCTTAGATACGCAAATTGGTCTGGATTAAAAAGATTGAGGTCTGACCAAAAGTCGACCACACGGCGGTGGTATTTGGCGGTAGTTCTCCATGAGATTTTTGCTCCCTTTCTTATGGACTGGAGTGATGTGGGCCGACTTCCATATACTTGGTAGTTGACCTTGAGAGAAGGATGTATTCAGGAATAAAGCCAGTGGAGATGACAACACTTGAGCACATTCTCTTAGGATGCGAGGTGATATGTAGTCGGGCCCAGGGGACTTATAAATATTCAAATTTCTTAGCAATTTCTCAACTTCCGTGGCAGAACAAAAGATGTTACATAATTTCTCATCTGTAATATATTCAAGGTCGGGAAAGTTTTCGTGATCCTCAACAGTAAACACCGATGAGAAATAAGAATTCATACAATTGGCAATGCTCAGGTCGTCGTTAAGATACGAATCGTTCACCTTTAAGGACGCTAAATCACATTTGACTTTTCTCTTTGATTGAACAAAGTTCCAAAAAGGCTTTGAACTGTTTCCGGTCTTTAGTTCATCTGCCAGATTGTTTATAAATTGCCTACGTGCAGAGTTACACTCCTTCTTCACATAGTTGTTGAATTTACGATATTTGTTCCAATCAGAAAGAGCACAGGTTTTTTTTGCCCTTTTATAAAGCACTTTCTTTCTTCTACACAACTTAATTAGATCCCCCCGCTTATCCATGGTGCATTCGAAGTTCTCTTCACTGTCCGCCTTGGGATACACTCGTTGACAGCAGATAAAAACATATCAGACCATGCAGCCCAAATACAATCAATGTCAGTATCCATAAAGGCACAATGCCATGGAGTGTAATGTAAAAGATTCCTGAGGTGATTCCAATCCGCCTTCTTAAATGAATAGCTCAACTTCTGCGATTTCCTTTCAGAGAATGATTTTCTTGATAGTAGCATAGAGATTGAGTTATGGTCAGAGAAGGGCAGGCCAACTTTTAGATCGTAGACTAGGTCAAGAGACGTGACGAATACCAAGTCTAAGATATTTCCGTTGCGAGTTGGGTCTTTGACCAGCTGGAATAGAAAATTGTCGTGTATGATATCCGACAAAAAAGTAGCGTTAGGTGAATCCACAGAAGTGCAGTCGGTGTTCCAGTCGAATTCGGGAATATTAAAGTCGCCAACAAGAACCATCTCTGGGTTTTGTGATGAAGAAAGCACAGTATCAAGAGCCGTTTGTAGATCCAACAGGCAGTTCATGCTACTGTTAGGCGGCCTATAGAAGACACCTAGACTAATTTTTCTATTCGCCGGGAATAAAATATCGACAAATAATAATTCGGAATCGAAATTAACATCTTCTCTCACAGACGCACGCAACGTATCGCGTACAGCTATCAAAATACCGCCACCGCGTCGACCATTTTGAACACGATCACGCCTGAAAACCGTATAAATAGAAGGGAAGAGTTCACTATCCAAAATAGAGCTGTCCAAGTGAGTCTCCGTAAATACCATGAGATCATATTGATAGGTAGCAATCTCTAGTTCCAGCTGATTAATCTTGTTAACCAAACTCCTTGAGTTGGCGTAAAAGACAGATACATCTGACCTAGGATTTACACACGCCATGTTGTTCCCCTCACTGCTAACTCTCAAATTCCGATGACCAGTCTGTGGACCTGGATGGGGATGGATATCGCCGTGGCAGCAAATAAACTCGATGTTAAAGGTTGAAACATGGTTACTGTAATAAGGTAACCGGCTGTAGGTGTAACCTTTCTTCTTTCTTCGTATAAATCGATCGAAGTAACGAAGATGGCGGGCGATGCGGAGTTGTTCGGTACAAATTGTCTCCGTGAACAGCGAATGTCGCATTGAAAAGCTTCTAAAACCAGGCCTAACGTCCATACCACATTCGTGGCCGTAACAACTATGTTTCAGAGATAATAAAGAGAAACCGCTAGCGCAAAAAAGGAAAAATATTACACAGGCGTGTCGTGAACGTCCGGTCGCATACATAATGATGTGAAACCTCCTTGCTTGAAGTTGTTTCTTTTCTCAATTGTTTTGCGTAATATAACACTTCTAAAGATGAGTTTTATTGTGGTTCAATGGGAAAACGAGAACAGCGTGAGTGTTTTAAATGAAAAGAAAGTCGTTGGCGCCGTGGAATTGAAAGAAGGGACAATTAACAGTTGACATATCGACTGGTTCAAACAACGATCGAGTGGCCATTTAAAGCTAGGATTTTTAGAAGTTTGTGGTGAGTACAAATTGCCATATTCGTTACGTGATCAAAATCTTATCAAAGAATAGAAATAACGGCTTGGATTAAGCTTACCTAACGCTCAGCGCAACTGAAACTCAAATAATTCTGAGAATCGAATTGGTCACTTGCATGCTGCAGTTTCCTAAGCTTACACTTTACAATGAAATAAATCTATGAGTAAGATTTCAAGATTACTTTAGTCACATTTGGGAATATTCTGACCTTGCTTTGCTT